ATATATATATATATATATTGGGGGGGGGGAGAGATGTGCTCAATCTCTTCATCTTTTTTCATCCAGCTTCCAAACTGCTCTTCCCTCTGATAGCTGTGGAACTGGAAATTATGTTAAGTGAAATAAGCTGGTCAGACAAAGACAAATACCATATGATGTTACTTATATGTAATAGCTAATCAACAAGATAATTTAAAAAACTAAATAGAAATAAAAGCATAGATATATAGGGACTATTTATTTATGAAATGTGAGCTTTGAAAATGCAATTAAATAATCTTTTATATTACTTCTGTGGACAGAATTTCGAAAATAACTGCCCTTTTAGAACTACCAATTTTACTGTGCTACATTTAAGTAACCCATATTTTATTTAATAACTAGAGGCCGGCTGCTCTCACAGTCCAGGACCCCTCACTCCTTACCACTCGGTTTGCTGTTCCTTAGCACTACTGCGGTGGCTGCAGAAGCTCCCACCACCACCGCTGCGCTCACCAGTCCTGAGCCTGGCATTTGGCTGTGCTGTGCTCCCCCTGTGGGAACTCAATGACCACCAGGGGACAGCTCCTGCCTTAAGCGTCTGCCCCCTGGTGGTCAATGAGCATCATAGCCATCAGTCATTCTGGTCGTTCTGCCATAATGGTCACTTAGGCTTTTATTATATAGACTAGAGGCCCAATGCACAAAATTCATGCAAGGGTCTTGACCCTCAAAGCCCAAACTGCCCCTGCTGCCCCTTGCAACCCCAGCCATCCCTGGCAGCCTCATCCAGCCCTCTAAGCCCCTCCCAGCCTTGGTCGGCCCTCACAGCCCTGACTCATCTGGAAGGTCGTCCAGACGGTCCTTCTGCTGTTCGGTCTAATTCAGTGGTGGGCAAACTTTTTGACTCGAGGGCCACAATGGGTTCTTAAACTGGGCCGGAGGGCTGGAACAAAAGCATGGACGGAGTGTTTGTGTGAACTAATATAAATTCAAAGTAAACATCATTACATAAAAGGGTACAGTTTGTTTGTTTTTTTTAGTTTTATTCATTTCAAACGGGCCGGATCCAGCCCACGGGCCGTAGTTTGCCCACGGCTGGTCTAATTAGTATATTAACTCTTTATTATATAGGATAAACCCAAACATCAAACTCTTTTCAAACATTATTCTTAATGCCCTTACCAATTCTATAAGTATGTTTTAGTTGTGTCAAAACGTGGACAGAAGATTGAGTAAATTGACAAATATATCATAGGTAACAAATAACATAGTCTGAATTTTTATTTCAAGTCATGTTCCATCCTCTACAATACACTACCTTTCAAGTAGAAGTGTGGTTTTCGTGGTGGAGGGGTGAGAAAAGACACTAAATAAAAGCATATAAATTGGCATAGCAGTAGAGATATCTCACTGACATAATACACTCTTTGTTATTATATGTGTTTATTAAATTGCTTTATTGACATCAAAGAAAAAATTAAGTTGTCTAAATATATCAGAATTTAGGTAGTGGATTTTATACACCATAATCTGTCCTATTGCAACATATTTAATATTTTATGGTTTGATAAAGAGAAAGAAGATGAGATAAAATTGCAGTTGTCATTTCCCTGGCAACTTTGAAGCATATTTATCACAACATAATTTCATGGCGCATTCACCAAAGAGCTCTTATGTACTAAAATCAACTATAAGATATGCCTGAATAAAGAAATCTGCACAAGAGATTCTAAAATGTCCATTATGAAGACCAAAGTAATTGTTACACTTACTAATTTGTTTAATTTAATAACAAGTTAATAATTAGTGAATACAATTATTGCAGTTGATATAGTTGCAAAACAGAATTAAATAATTTAATTACTTAATTTAAATAATTACTATAGTATCTATCCATTTGTAAAATTGAAGAAAATAATGAGTGGGAGCCAAGAAACTAAGCCTAATAGTATTACTCCAATGTCCTTTACATGTGGAATTTTAAGTATTATAGCAACAAATAAATACAAAACAATGATAATGTAACTAATATTTGAAGTATTAAAATTTGACTCAAGGTTGAAAAGTAGCATCCTCTTAAATTGGAAATGAAAGATGTATAGTGGTAGGCTTATTATAGTTCGAAATGAAAGAAAGCAACTAATAGTAACTCCATTTCTTTAAGGTTACTTACTAATATTTTTTTCCTTTTGTTGTGTTATGATTCCCTGATTATTTGTAATCCTTGTGGCCTTCGTTAGTGTCTGTATATTAGAAGGCACCTCTTCCAGTATTTGAAGACTGGCTTTGGCAGGTAAAGCTCCTCACCAGTCAGCCCACCCAGAGGTTCTGGACTTACCATCTGGTGGAGTCCATGGGTGGGTTTGCTGCTGGAGTCCTTGGGTGGACTGGGTTTTTGGATGATTCAGCAAGTGGGTGGGCCAGCTGCCTAGGTCCAAAGGGGCTGATCTGGTGCCTGGATTCACATGGGTTAGGCTTGACATCTGATTCCATGCATATGGTTAAGTCTGGGACATTGGTCCATGAAGGCAGGTCTGGAGTCTGTGTCCACAGAGGTGGCCTGAAGCCTGGTCCACTGGGGGCTGAACTGATGCTAGAGAGTGCTGTATTTATTCTATACAGACTTGTATCATTCTTGTTAGTTCACCCTTTGACATGCAACATATATGCAATGTTCTCGTGCCTGTGTCACATTTTCTCTGCAAGCCTCAATTCTGGTTGCGTTAAGGCTTACTTCTCACGGATGAGTAGAAAGTCAGCCACTAAATGCTATCATTTGATTTTTCTCAGTTTTATGTCTAGCAGTTTATCAACCTGTATTCCTGGATTAACAGCTGACAAAGTCACTGGAACATAAGACTTGTTTAATTCCTTGTGATTCTTCTACCAGTGGTTCTCCATCTTCCTAACGCCGCGACCCTTTAATACAGTTCCTCATGTTGTGGTGACCCCCAACCATAAAATTATTTTTGTTGCTACTTCATAACTGTAATTTTGCTACTGTTATGAATAGTAATGTAAATATTTGATATGCAAGATATATTTTCATTGTTCGCGACCCACAGGTTGAGAACCGCTGTAACTAAAAAGCACTATCAAGTACATCAACTATGCAATCAATGTTATTC